AGCTATTTATACTCACATTTTCTTATTTCTAAAAGAAGTTTTCTTCTGATGCTTTGTGGAGATATTTATTCTAAGAGGAAAAATAGGTTTGGTCCTGGGTCCACTACAGCTGTAAGCTCTTGCACCAAGGGTGATGGGAGCGCTCAGTGCTCTCACAGGCAGCTGAGTCCATCCATACCAGAGCTGTTGGTTTGTCCCTTCAAAGCTTGACCAGCACCCATCCTGTGCTGTGTGCCAGGCACAGGTCATGTCTGCAGGGCTGGTTTGACCAGTTCCCAGCATCCTGTTGAGTTCCACGTGGCAGAAGCATCATCTCTGGATGCATGTGTCATGCAGGAATCCAAAACCACAGATGTTTGACTCCACTTGGCTGGTGTTCTCTACCACCCATCACCCACCATAAATTTGTTCTTTTTCCTTTTCAAAATTCATTTGTGTGGATTTTGAGGATACCCTGTATCTCTCCAGACCCCTTCCATGGCATGTGTTAAGTGCACCTGTTGCACATAAAAATGGTGCAGTAACTCTGTTGGTTGCTCTCTGGAGAATCTAGAAAAAAAGAACAGCACTATGTGTTGTGTTTACACGTGTTTAGGCAACAGGTGTGTAGAGGAACAAGATTTTGTAGTGAAAAATAGTGTTTTAACAATAGAACTTGCTGCAAATCAACTGGATTGAAACCTTGCTTATAAAATTACAATTCTTACTGTATGAACTGAGTGTTAAAAATATTTTAAAATTGTGTACGAAAAAATACTCTAGGGAAAGCAAAGAGGTAGATTTTTTGTCACTAATCTCTTTATGTGTAACAATAGTAAGATTAAGATTTCAGAAAAAGCAGTTTCAGGGAGCAGGCTTTTGTTTGTGAGGTGATAGTTTTCTATGAGTAGACTCAAAGGCCATTCAAACCTCCCTGTTTTTTGGGATATTTCAAGTGTATTTTTGTAAGAGGAACTTGGGCTCCCTTAAAATCATTTAAATAATAGCAAATTTGAGTTGTGTGGTCTCTCAGTAGCACAATACAGAGCAGTACTTGATCTTAACTCCTTTTACAGTGATGAATCAGTAGTACAGCCCTTGTCTACAAGGCCATTCAACAAGCACTGCACAGCTCTTGGTACTTTATATATTGTTTCCACAGCTGAATTCCAAATATCTGCAAAATCTGCACACATTGAGATATTCATAGACAGCATCTCTTGTAGTTCATAAATTGCTGCTTTGCCAGGCAGCCACTGAGAATAATTCAGTGTGCACAGTGACACTGGAACAGCTTTAATTTGTGGTATGTACTTTCATTTCATTGCCTTGGTGACTTACCAGTTTCTCAATGGGTTGGGAAATGAGACAAAATTGTTTCCTTGCAGTGCAGTGTGGAGTCTAATCTCTCTTGGTTTGGGCAGCAGCAGTAACACAACTTGTTGGATTTGAAGTTTGCAAGATGCAGCTTTGAGGGTTGTTTTCCCTGTGCACTTGTGTGTCACAGAACTGCCTTGTCCTGGTAACACTGATGGCTCTGTGGAAGTCATCTCATAACTGCTATGAGGATGTTTTCTCTAGAGTTCTGCTCTCTTCTCCTTTTTCTGTCCTTTTTTTTTTCTTAAATCTATTTATAATATAACTATATATATATATTACTATATATATATATTTCTAAACAAGATGTAGTCAAACTGATCTGTAGTATTTTGTGATGGGCTTCTTCATAGTTCCTAAAAACTATTTTGATTAGTTGACTTATCAACTTATTATTTATTTTTATTATTTTATTTATTATATATTTATTTTATAATTTTTTATTATTTGTTTAAATACATGAAAACCAAACTTGACACAGCCCAATTGTAAAGACAGGGGTAGTGGATTTTTGCTGATGGTATATACAAGCCTGCTACAGACAGAAAATGGAAGATATCAACTCATCATGAGTGAGTTTAAATTTGTACATTTTAGTGCATCTTTGAGGTACTGAACTTGTAGTCAATTTACTTTTAAAATTCTTGCTAAGTGTTGTGTTGATCACCACTGGGAGGTTTGTTTTTATTTTTCTGTCATAGATTAGGGTTATGTAGATTTTCACAAACAGAAAAAACCCAATTCTGTTCTTTTCCTATTATCATAGACAAGATCGAGATGCAGCAAAAATCTGAAAATTTCCATTTTATTGTCACTGTTTCAATATGCTCTGTATGGAGCATATTGGACTCACTTCTTGGGACTAGACCAAGCATTATGGCAGACTGTTCCTCCAGGTTGTGCTGCTTACTCATCTCTTTTCCCCTTCTGTCAGTGTTCCTCATTAAAGAGCATGTTTGGAAGAAAGGGCTCTGCCCGGCAGAAATGTCGCTTTTCTTCCCTTCCTTCCCGTGATGTTCTGTTGACTGTTGAGCAGCAGTGAGCAGTTCCCTGGCTAGTTTGTACCTTTCCTTCCCAGAAATCAGCTGCTGCACTGTGTTTCCCCAGCAAGCCCCTGCCCACCACCAGATGAGGCAATGAGAGGACCTAAGGGGCTTCTGCTTTTTCACTGTTTCTTTGGAAAGACAGGACTGTAATTTCCTCTTCAGAGATGAGAATCATGACACTGTAAACACATCCTTTGATGACTTCACTCTGTGTGTGTGTGAATGGGGAGAGGTCTCCTTCTGTTCCTGTGTCCTGCCCTCTCCCTGCCCAATGAATTCTTCCTTACAAAACACAACCTTTAGGATTTTTGCTTTTGAAGAATTTGGAGTTGTAACAATAACCTGTTGAAGGAATTGATATAAGTTATTCAACATTAATTTAAAAGTTTTTAGTTTGATTGTTAGTTCTAGGCATTTTAGCTAAACAGCCTTGCTTCTGGGTGAGATTAAAAAGAGGAATGAATTTGCAGCTTAAGAGTGTATTAAGTTCTTCTGACACGACTGTTATCACAGCTTCAAAATATCTCATAGCCAAAAAACTGTGCCATCTGCCTTACTGCTTATATTTACAGAATCCTTAATATTTGATACTGTGCCTTGGAAAGACATTCCCTTAAATCCTCGAGGACTAGCATTAAGGAGTCACGCACCGGGTGACACGAATATGAACGGTACTTTGGTGTAGCAGATTTTTCTGAAGAGTGAGATGGAAACCACAGGGCCTATTTAGTTTAAGAAAAGCTTATATTTTTAAAGGTGCTGAGTTTGTCAGTGTGAATTTCTGATTGCCCTTTCAGTAAGGCAGAGTCAAGTGTTTTTCTTAGAGGAGAAGCAAGTTTGAAGTAGCTACAATTACGAAATACTTCAAGCATCATGATTAATTGGAGAGACTCCTTACTTGGCTCCACCTTAGTAACTCAAATAATTGATATTTTTGTATGACAAATGGTGCTACCCTTTTTCCATTGAAACTTATTAATGGGATCACTTACATAGATAAGGAAATATTTCTGTTTATGCTGTTCTTTTACTCCTTGTTGTTCTACAAGGATGTTTTAGTTCAAGTTTTGCAGCTACACTGGCAGTTGCAGGTGCTTTGTAAATGTCTAAAATATAAAATTGTTACTCTTGATTGTCATAATTTCCTTATGTGTCTTAATTTGAGTTAAATGTATTTTACTGAGTATTTTACTTAACCTTTAGTATTTATAGCATTTTATCTTTTAAGGATGAAAAACTAGTATATGTCATCTGGTTAATGAACAGTTTACTTGATTAATCTCTCTACTGGAGTAGGTTTAAATAAATAGGTAAAGCTTCCAGTTTTGGAGATAATAAATAAAAATAAGCGATTGAGTTCTGTTGTCACTTGTTCTATTGGTGCTGTTTGCTTTTTTTTAATCAAGTTACCTGTTGCCAATCACCAGCCATTTGTCTCCTGAAATGATTATTCTTGAAAATTTAGTAGTTTGAGATTTTTAGAGGGGGAAAAGTTAATTGTTTTGTGTGTACAAGTGTTCTAAGCCATTAAGATAATGTGGTAGTGGAGCATATGGAACATACCACAGCAGTATTTACTCTGAAGATGGAGGAACCTTAAAGCTTATCTTATCCAGCTTAATTAATTTTATAAGTATGCCAAAATTACCATACTGCTATGCACAACACTTGAAACTTTCTTTCACTAGTGCACAAAGCCTGTTTCAAGTAGAATAAATAAAGAGAAGCATTCCGTTCTGCACTTTGACCCCACAGAAATAAACTTGTACCTTGCTGGGATTCCAGCCTGCAGCCACCACAGGGCTCTGCTCTTTGGACTCTGGAGGAATTGGTATCTTTGTTTTCCTTCTCATCAACAAAATTTTCATGAGGAGGTTTAATCTAAACTGAAGAGTAGATCTTTCTCAGGCAAAGCTTGAAGTAGCCTCATAGCATTCCAGTCTTCTTCTGTTATGTATTGGTGAAATTGGTGGAACTTCCTATTCATGAGCTATAACACAACAGGATGTATAATAATATTCCTTATGAAGTGGTCAGACTTGGAATTGCAGGTTTCCAGTATCTTTATCTGTTTGTAGGATGGCATTGATAGTGTAGCAAAAACTTTCCAGAAACTTGTTTTTCTTTCTATTGATCTTTTTGTGGGATTGCTCGTAGCAAGAGGAGAACTAAAAAGTACCATATTTATTAAATGATGATAAGTAAGGAATAAATGCATAGGGTGGCAAAAAAACCCCACAAAACCAAACAAACCCCAGAGATTCCTAGATAATAGTAACTGGTATGCAGCCAGGGCTGTGGTTTGAAATGTGCAATTGTATTGATAAGAAGAATGTTTAAATTACACTGAGACTTTTGCATCCAAAACCTTACTTTGTACTGTCTTGAATCTCTGTGTGAAAATCTATTCCAAGACTGAATCCTGAATACTGGCTTTCCTTTTGCTTGTGAACTTAAGAGTGAGTAAATTAGGCTTGAAAGTGATGTTTTAGAGAATGTTCTTGATTGTGAGTTAAACAGTAGATGTGGGTTTGAGATCTGACCAGCTTGTGCTGATGTGTTTTCTTGGCTTCACCCTAGTTTTTGATGACGGTGATGAAAGGACCTTGAGACGAACTTCATTATGCTTGAAGGGAGAAAGGCACTTTGCAGAAAGTGAGGTAAGACAGTGGTGGACCTAGAATTAAAAATAAATAGTTAATTAATATCTTTTTTATAACAAGGTATTGCAAACCATTGTTGCTTCCCCCTTTTCCATGTAGACACTTGATCAACTGCCACTAACCAATCCAGAGCACTTTGGAACTCCAGTTATTGGGAAGAAATCTAATAGAGGGAGAAGATCTTCTCTTCCTGTGTGAGTTTTGAGAGTGTTCTGCTTTTCCATTAGTGTCCTTTGCTAAATCTGAAGCAGTCCCATTGAAGCTGCAATGGTCTCAATGCTGTCACCTGAATTTTGTGCACAGCTGATAGATATGGTCATATGCTGGCAATATTATGAAATTGAAGGGTTTTTTTCTTGTAGTACCCTTAAGAACATTTATGCTTCTTTCATCTAATAGGAAATACAGGATTTTTAACCTTCTTTATATTGAACACAATAAAAAAAAAGGATGCTTTCTAATTTTTGGGGTAGAGAGCACTTTTCTTTGTTTCATGTCTGTGCACGATCAGAACCTGAGTCATGTCTCCAATTCCGACATGATGCTGTTTTAAAATGCTGCTACTTGGAAAGAATTCCTACAAAATTCCTCTTACTGAGTAAGTGCACTTAATATTTAAGTGTATTTCAGGCAATTTTAGCTCTTAAAGTTATAACTGTTTTTGAAGCTTTGTAAAACAGAAAGAAAAATCTTGTGAACTCTCTTTGGTTTTCAAGTAGTAACTTCAGACAAACTTTAAAATATTATACATTTTGATAATTCAGTACTGAAGATGAAAAGGAAGAAGAAAGTAGTGAAGAAGAGGATGAAGATAAGAGGCGCCTCAACGATGAATTGCTTGGCAAGGTTGTGAGTGTGACTTGTAATGCAGAGAAGGCAGACTGGTACCCAGCTTTGGTGAGTTCCTTTTGCAGCAAAGCTGTGAATGTAGTCAGGCTAAGCTCTACTCCCATGTTTGCTAAAAATACAAGTGTTTGCAGTATCTATGAAGAGTAGGAAAGCAGAGATTAACATTTATGTGTAAGTTACAGTTTCATGGTGTTAAAGTGTTTTAGAACTGCATACAAAATGATCAGTGTGTAATGATACTTTTCTTCTAAAAATAAAATGTTAGGACTTGCACTCCCAGGCAATTTAAGATGATCTAGATTTATGAATTTTAATTGCAGTGGGATTTAAATTTTTTTTTAATGTAATTTTCTTTTTCCTTAGATTTCCAGTTTTATGAAATACTAATTCCTTTGATGCTCTGATGTAGTGGTCAGTTGCTCTAGGAGCAGATGTTGGTGCTTATTTATATTTGACTGTCAATGAATGATACAGCTGTTCATTGCCACTGCTGATAATAAATATACATTAAATAAATCTGAGTTCAAGTAGACTTGTAAAGCAGACAGTTTGCATCTTATTGATAAACACAGAAAAGTTTACATGTGCATATTGAAAGTTGCTTTTTGTAGAAAACTTTTTGGTATTTTCAGACATGATGTAATGAATAGTGAACAGTTGACACTGCCTTATCCCCCTGTATGTACCTCAATTTAAAACATGGTATTGTACATGTTCTGGTTGTAGCTCCCTTTATGAATGGCAGATTCTTATTTAACATAGTTTTTAACTGGTGGGTTAAGTCCTTAGGGGTCATATATATCTATTTAACATTTTCTGCTTATATATAGCAAAAAAAAAATAAATTCTATTAGTTGTAAATACTAATTCTGCAAATGCATTTTTATCACTTTCTTTAGACCTATAGGTGATACTGCTGTGGAAGGATGTACTGGATTTCACAGTGGTTTTTGTTATCCACACCTCAATAAACAAACAAAGAAACTAACTTAAGTCTCAGTTTAAATGCCAAAAATTGGAAGCTGGTATAAAATAAGCTGGTATAAATTTTAAATAGATGCTTTTAAAAAATTTTGTGTGAACAAGAATAAAAAAAGCAGAGTGAATGATCAGGGTCTTGTGATATGTCCTCAGTAGATTAGTTTTCAAATGAAATTTTAGACTTTTTTGGCTTGTATGCAGTAAGTCAATAGTTTGGGGTAAATTGCTTCTTGAAATTTGTTGTTGTTGGCCTTGGTAGTATAAATTGAAGTAGGTTTGTTTACCCAATTCTGGAAAAAAAAAGAAACAGAAAACAGCAGTTTTCCTGCAGTCTATCTATCTTTCCTTTCAAGATCAGCTTTTATTTTTTATGTTTTTTTTTTGATAAAGGGATGTTTTATTTGAATCTTCAGGTTGTGTCGCCAAGCTGCAATGACGACGTCACTGTGAAAAAGGACCAGTGTTTAGTTCGATCCTTTGCAGATTCCAAATTGTAAGTGATAGCTCATTTTGATTAGATACCTGTGGGAGGAAACTGGGAAGCTAATCACTTACTGCTCCTGAAGATGGTATTTCTTTCAAAAGGAAAGGGTACAGTTTCCTGTAATGCTGGATGGACATATCAGGCATTCACAGTCTTATTTCCAGCTGACTCCTGTGCTTCTTCACCCTTATTTCCATTGAATTCATTCAATCAAGAAAGTTTCTAGTGCTTCTTCATTTAAAAATATCAACAACTTAAATTGTAAACACCTGGGTGTTTTTCTTTTTCTTTTTTTTTTTTTACCTAATTTCTATCCTTTAAAATGAATTTTGGTTTTAATTATTTCCCGTATTGCCTTAAACAACCTTCTCTATGGGTGTTAGTTGTAGTAGTTTGGGTATCTGCCTCATTACCTCCAGTGCCCAGATGTCCATAGCTGTTTAGATAGTTTATAAGGGTTTAATCTACTCTTTTTTAATAGAAAAGAGAATTTAAATAGAATTGTTAATTAAAATGTTTACAGAATCTGAATCATATTCCTTTAAAAAGAAGGAAAGGTCCTGTTAGTCCATCTTTCACTCCAAAAGGGAGAGAGAGACAGAGATTTTTACATAATGAATAATGTATTCATAAGAGCATGATGACTGTTTCTGGGTTTTTTTAAAGGCTGCTCCCCTTTATTTCTTTTCATTATTATTGCATTGCATCTGTGTTAACACATTGTAACTAAAAACTTCTTCTCCAAAGGCCACCTGTCACCCTTTATTTCAAAGTGAGCAGTTTTTGATTTAGGTTATGAATACTTGTTTACTGAAATGTACTTCAAGTACCTGAAGACTTGGTTAATTTTGGCCTCTTAATGTAGATATGTGTCATCAGCCTTCTGCATGAGCCTGGCTCTTTCTGTACTGAAAGTTGAATGTTACTGGTAAAATCCAAACTTGTTCTGTTTGGCTTTTTTTTTTTTTTTCCTCCCAGAGCATTATGGCTTTAACTTCAGAAAATGGCAGCCTCTAATTCCTGAGGTTTTACTCCAGATTTTCTGAAATAATGAAAGAAGGAAAAAAAATGTGTTAGACTAACTCACTTCTTAGGCTTTCCCTGCAATTTGGTTAGGATTTTTCTTGTTACTCAGTGACTGGATATCCAGTATGACTTTGGAACAGAGCAACCTCCATATGCTTTGCTGTGAGAACACTTTTGTAATTTAAAAATTAAAATCAACTGCCTATCAATGCAAATCTGTGAATTGGCTTCACTGTTGTTCTGTGCTAGTAAAAAGGCATTTTGAAAATAGAGGACTTGCTTCTGTCCTCTTCGATAGATCCTTGCTTTGGAGAGCAGCTGTGGATTCTTGTGAATATTTTCAGTTTAGAAAATTATTTTTGCCTGCATGTTTAACCTTTGCAAATTTATGCAGGTTAAGCAATTAAAATAAAGGACATTTACAAAGTTTTTTTAGTTACTTAAGGATACTTTAATGCCTGGATTTCAAAGATTGGGAGCTTACCCTGGGTAGCTTACTCTTGTATTTGGACCATACAATAACAAGTGCCTTGGGCAGTTAATTCTTAGGAAGAACCTTGCAAGTGAATAACTCCTGAAAATTTTAGAAATTGCTGTTTTCCTAAGTCAAATGCTTGCTTTTCTGTGATGTAATTACAAAACCTTATTCTTTTACAGTTACTCAATAGCAAGAAAAGACATTAAGGAGCTAGATCTTCAAAGCTTACCAAAATCAGAGTCTTCTCCTAAAAAAGGTAATTTTAAATAAATTCTTGGTGTTTAAAAGAAGTAATTTCATACAAAGGTTCTTTTAACATTTGCTGATAAATGTTGATTTCTGATAATTGCTCTTGGATATTTTGTAAACAATTTTAAATGGGAGAAATTAGAGAAACTTTGGATAGAGCTGTGTCTAGTAGAAATCTTTATTTGATTTTTATTTCATTATTTTGATCCAGTCCAAATTTGTGGAAAATGAATAGAATATTTTCAGGATAGTCTGTTTGAAGTGTCAGTGAGCAATGGAATATTTAGTTACCTGTCCTAATGCTAAAATTTTATGTTGTTGCTCAAAACTCTCTGTTTACATTAAAGATACCCAGACAGCAAGGTGTAAACTTCATAGCAACCACAGTCTGTGATTAATATTTAGTTTAAAAATATAATTACAGAATTGGATGGATGAATGGATGGATGACATGGATACCACAGTCCATCAAAACATGAAATGCGTTAAGGAGAAATGTCTAATTATCTTTATTAAAAATTATAATAAAAAGTCCCCACTCAACAACAAAAGTACCTGGTTTGAGTAAAGGTGTGGAGCAGCTCCTTACAAGTCAAGATTTGAAATGCTTCAAATGAAAGCTTGAGGTGGTTTTGATTGATTTGTCTAATATTACATGATTTCTCTTCTACTTTGTTCTTAATAGCTGTTTCACAGTACAAGAACTTTAAAACAGCCAAAAAAAAAAAAAGCAGATGCCAGGTTTGAGATAAATTGAAGAAAGGGACTTTTTTCCTGTGCAGAACATAATTGGGTTGTGACATTCCTTGCTACAAGGGAATATTTTGGAACCAGAGGTACTAATGGTTTCCAAAAAAAAAGTTGAGACTAATGTCTGGAGGTTTTTCTGTCAGCAGTGTTAAAAACTGGTACCTTTTCTTCTCTGGTAACACTGAGCAGGTCATTGCAGTATGTTCTGTTTGGTGTTTCTCTGGCTCCTTTATTGAAGTCTTTTATTGTGACTGAGGGACTGATTTTGGGGTTATCTGGGTTTGTTCTGCTTTGTTGTATTCCACCCTTGGAGCACCTCTTCAAGGAGAAGAATTTGAGATATTTCCATTGTACAAGTGTAATTTCTGCCTGTCCCATCTCTCCTTTGCTCACTAAACATTAATGTCACATTTCTTTGGGCAGTGCTCTTTTTTATTTTCTCTTTTTTTTTTTATCTAAAACATTATATATTGGAAAGATCAAAGTAAGCCATGGTGCTTGATCTGTGATGGATTCATTGCATTTGGATTGGTGTTGTGATTTTCAAGGTGAAAAGGAAATAAAAAATGCTTTGTTGACTGTGAATGCTGCAGATGAGGTAAAGCCAGGGCCCTTTCCTCTGTAGGGCTACAGGAGGCAACCACGTTTCTCAGCACCAGGGGTGTTCCTCGGAACTGGAAAATGGACATCAGTGAAATTCTGGAGTCCTCTAGCAGTGATGAGGAGGATGGAGCTGCTGCAGAAACTGATGAGGAGGAGCAAAAACGAGAAGAGAAAACGGAAGAAGTAGCGGTGAGTCTGGACAATTTAAATTCTTTTTCAAGGATAATTTAATAACTTGCCTGAAAATCCTGCACTTTCCAACATAATTATTCTCAGACTCGTCTCACTTCAGTGTCTTTTCAGTCATGTTCATTTTCTCTCTGCTAGTTTTCTTTATTGGGATTTGTGAGCAGTGGCAAGTTGTCTCCTGCTACCCAATGAATAAACTGGAGACAAATCTCAGAAATTAGAAATTCAAGGCAGAGAAGAGTGAAAGGTTCTGGGTCAAAAGAAAAGACAAACACAAGAAACTTATGTTGAGCCTAATAGTAGTAATTGCACCTTAAATATAGTATCTTTGTATTTTTATTTTGTAATTTCCTTTTGTATTTTACTTTGTATATAGGTTATATAAAATTAACTTGTTTCTGAAAACAGTATAGTGTGATTTAAAAAAAAAAGATAAACATTTTCAAACAAAAGCAGGAGGTTGACTGAAACTGTGAACTCATCCACAGGGCAATAAATGCTACTTAGAGCAGTACAGGACTGACCTTCGTGCGTGTTAGGCTGGGAATCACGGTATGATGTGGTGGATGGATTTTCTAACGTGTTGTGGCATGTACAGACTGAGAGGAATTCATGGAGAGCAGCCCTGGTGGAGAAGGGCTCGGGGGTTCTCATGGATAAAAGGCTGGACATGAGCCAGCAATGAGCACTCGTGGCTCAGAAAGCCAAATGTGTCATGGGCTGCATCAAAAAGGGGATTCTCCCCTTTCCTCTGCTCTCGTAGGAGCCCCGTGAAGCACTTTTCCAGCTCCAAGGTCCTCAGCACAGGAGAGACCTGTGGAGGTTGCTCCAGAGGAGGCCACGAAGCTGCTCCGAGGGCTGGAGCCAGGCTGGGAGAGCTGGGTGTGTTCACCTGGAGGAGGCTCTGGGAGAGACCTGAGGGCTCCTTCCAGGGCATAAAGGGGCTCCAGGAGAGCTGGAGAGGCACTTGGGACCAAGGGCATGGAGTGATAGGACAAGGGGGAGTGGCTTTAAACTGAAAGAGAGGTTAAAGTTGGACATCAGGAAGAAATTCTTGTTTGTGAACGTGGTGAGGCCCTGGCACAGGATGCCCCGAGAAGCTGTGGCTTCCCCATCCCTGGAATCGTTCCAGGCCAGGTGGGACAAGGCTTGGAGGAACCGGCTCTGTTGGAAGGTGTCCCCATGCAGGGAATCAGAACTGGATGATCTTTAAGGTCCCTTCCGACAGAGATCATGGAATGTGATTCCATGATTCTCATATTAACAGTTTTTTCTGCTTTCGAATATTTTAAGTGGCTCGTTTTCCATGAAGTTAGCCCGTTTCTTCATGTCATCAAAACTGTCGTTACAGAATTCCTTTCTATTTCTGCTCCCTGCTTGTAACCTGGATGTTGGATTTAGAAGCATAGGCGGAGGTGGGGGGCGGGCAGGGCAGGCACTGCGGGATTTATTTGTTTCCCCATCAGGCCGTTCTCACAGTATCCCCCGAAAACAGGAGCCGTGAACCCCCGGTGCGGGCTGTGTGTCGGGAGGAAGGTCAAACGCCGCTTCCCTTTCCCCGTGCCTTCCCTTCCCACACGGAATGGCCGATGGCGCTTGGCGGCGGCCTCGGCGTTCCCAGGGCAACCGGCAGCGGGCGCGGCGCAGGCGCGGGGAGCGGCCGCGGGAGCCGGGGCTGGCCGGGGGCTCGGAGATGGGCTGGCCCTTCCCTCTCTGCCTTTCATCTAATGCCTCGCGTTCTCCCTAGTATTACTAGTTCGTTTTATTAATTTTTTTTTTTTTTTTTTTTTTTTTTTTTTTTTTTTTTC